AACCTCCATGAAGTCCTTTCCAATTAAATTCCAGAAAGTCTTATAGAATTCTGCAGGAAGTCCATCGATGCCCGGAGACCGACCACAGCTGAGCTGTTTCACCGCTGCAGACAGTTCATCGAAATGAATAACAGACTCCAGTAAGGCTGAAGATGCTTCCTCCAGCCGAGGGAGTCCTTCCAGGATCTCCTCCACACAGTCAGAGTTACAGTCATCAGCGCTGAACAGGCTTCTGTAAAAGTCTATAGCCAACTTCCTCATCTCTGATGGGTCAGCAGTCACTGTTCCATTAGGGTTCTTGAGGTGTATCATCTGGTTCTGTTGCCTGACTTTCCTTTCCAACTTAAAAAAGTAACGAGTGGGCGCATCTATGTCTTTAATAGACAGGGTTCTTGATTTAATTAGAGCACCTTTAGCTTTTTCATATAAAAACCTACTCAAAGATGTCCTCTTCGTATCCCAAGTTGGATTATTATCATTATTTTTATCCAACCCATTAATTATGCCGTCTTCCAATAAAAGAATCTCCTTCTCCAATAATTCAAGGTGATCCCTTTCTATTGCTTCTGTGTGTGATGAGTACTGCTGACAAAATATTCTAATTTAGGTTTTCCCCACCTCCCACCATTGACCTATGTTTTCAAAACTAGATTTTTTTCTTCTCCACTGTGCCCAGAAATCAGAAAAATACTGACAAATACTGTTTTGTCATAAATCAATTTGATGTTAAAATGCCAAAAAGGAGATCTTTGGGGATGCACCATTAAAGAAAAATGAACAGTTAGTAAATGATGATCCGAAAAACCAACAGGTGATATCATGGCTGCACTCAACCTATTGTTGTATGTTTGGTTGACATAGAATCTGTCCAGTCTGGCTGCACTAACCCTGCCCTCAGTGACTTTCACCCACGTATACTGTCTACTATTTGGGTGGAGTTTCCTCCAGACATCTACAAGATCATTTTCTTGAATAATTTTTGATAAAAGAGAAGCTGATGATAAATTAGGCTCTCTTCCATTCCTGTCAACCAAATCATTTGTGGTACAATTCCAGTCCCCTCCTACCACTACTACTGAACTACTATTAAACTGTTTTAATGTGTCATTAAGCTTATGAAAAAAATCATTGCGGCTACCAGCATAGGTGGAAACATATACATTAACAAACACAAAAGGTGTCTCTCTGATTGTTGCTTGTACTATTTGCATCCGACCCTGCTCTATATCAGAAACTACTACATTTGACAGAACAATACGATTTGAAAAAAGGATAGCTACACCTGCACTCAGATTAGAGCCGTGGCTCAGGAAACACAATCCACCCCATGCTAAGGCCCAATCTGTGTCATCTGTTTCAATAGTGTGTGTTTCCTGTAAAAATAACACATCAATGTTTTTTTGAGATGCCACCTCAGAAATTAAAGCTCTCTTATGTTTGTCCCTCCCTCCATTAATGTTTAAAGATCCTATTTTTAGGCTCTGCATAGAGATATTAAAGAAAAGAAGGAACATACAGGCTGAAACCAGTAGAAAACAGTAGAAAGAAGAGGCCACCATGTGATGATGCATTTTTTTTTCCTATTTCTTAACTTTCTTACCAACTTTTCCTTTCTTAGCTTTCCTCAGTATTGCCAGATGTTTGTTGAGACGATAACGCCTCTTTTCATCCAGGAGGTCATTGCCAACCTGTCTCTTTAAAGTGCTGACCGATTTGATAAACTTATCTGTGTCCTCAAAGTAATCGCTCACTTTAACTGATTTATTAAAAGTTGCATCCAGAAACTCATTTATTTCATCTAGAGAGTATAGATCACGCCTTCGGTTTACACCCTCAGGAATAGAAGCTGTGTCTGACTCAGACTCATATTCCATTTCATCTCCTTCACATGAAATCTGACTGCAGACGTCACTCTGTCCCGTTACACTGCTGCTAGCTCTGTCCTCAGCAATTCCTGCTGACTGTTGCTCATTTAAGCTCTCTGTAGTTTCAGACACCTGCTGTTTCTCCACTTGACTCGGTTCAATTGCTTCTTGTACAACGTTACAATCCGCCACTACAGTCTCCGTAGAGGGTGCCGCACCCCCCACACCAGGCGCGGCCCCCGCAGAAGCGGGCGCCGCATCCGCGGGCACCGCGGCCGCAGCGCGGGACGCAGCCCCGTCAGAAGCGGGCGCCGCACCCGCGGGCACCGCACCCGCGGCGCGGGGCGCTTCCCCGCCAGAAGCGGGCGCTGCACCCGCGGGCACCGGGCCCGCGGCGACCGACACCGCGCTCCCCGAAGACCCGGCAGCAAAGCCACCAGCTGTATCCGCTGAGTGAGCTCCTTCCTGTTGTTTATGTGGACACCCAGATCTTTTGTGTCCAACATCTCCACACTCAAAACATTTCATGAGTCCGGAGCTGGCATACACCATGTAAAAACCATCTCCATGTTTTACTCTGAATGCCACCTCCAGGGTCTGTGTGGGTGATTCCAGGAACATAAACACCTGCCGCCTCAGAGATTGGACATGTTTCAGTTTGGGGTCCTTGCACCCCAAACTTACTGTTCTAAAAGTACTTGCCAGTTTGCCAAATCTACGGAGCTCATTCTCCAACAGGTTGTTTGGTATAAACGGCGGAACACCGGATACGGTGATCCGTGTGGATGGCACTGACAGCGGGGAGACCTGCAGGAATAAATCCCTGACAACCACCCCGGCCTCAATCAGCTGATGGACAGTCGGCTCATCTTTCAAAAACACCACCACTGCTTTGTTCATTCGTGAAGCGTGAGAAAGTTTGTCGTGTCCTACCTGTTCACCAACAGCCAACAACACCTCCTCTACAGATACAGAGCCATCCGGCGGGACTATCCGCACTCCCTGCCTGATAGACGGAGGAGGCGTCGCGGGGGACGCCATGCCTCCTGGAAACAACTAACTAACGCACCTACCGTTTACCTGGCTAAACCTCAATGAGAAAATAAATAATAATAACCTTACCTGGTTTGGTGCATTTCAGAGCAGTCAGAGAAACAATAGAAACCAAAATCAGACCATAGGAAGAAAAGAAAAAAAAACATTCAAATCTCCGCGCCACTCTCACGTCCACCACCTGCACTCACACTCACCGGAAGTGAGAAGGAGAGAGATAGAGATGAGAGAGATAGAGATGAGAGAAAGCAGAGAGAGATAGAGATGAAAATGAGATGAGAGAGATAGAGATGAGAGAGAGATAAGAGAGTTAGAGATGAGAGATAGAGATGAGAAAGATAGAGATGAGAGAGATAGACATGAGAGACAGAGAAGGTGAATGGACCAGAATTCAACATTAGAAGCATTGTCCCCTGCTTCTGCCTGGTCACTCAACTTTCCAATGTCCTTCCAGAAGTTCCAGTTGCTGACTCTTGTGAATCCCTCCCAATCCGCTGCAGTTTCATATTTTAATAAACTGTTCAAACTGTCTCTGATTGAATTCTGGGTCTTTCGTTTCTGATCATTACAAGTCTCCATTTCTTTGTTACATTAAGAGTTGATCACTTTTTACAATAACACTAGATGCAAATAATGTGATTGTAAATATTGCAAACCACTTGGTAATATGTTTAAGACCAAATTCAAATGAATTATAAAGATTGGATATTAGTCTAATATTAGCCAAAAAATTTATATTGGATTTTATCAGCCAGCATCTAAAATCTCCAATATATGCCTATATAAACTCACAGATTCTGTTAAGTTTCTGTATCTCATTGGTTAATATAACATGGCTCAGTTTTCATACATTTTGTTGTTCACCTTTGTTCCCTGTTGAAGAAATATTACTTTATCAAGCCTTTTCTAATATATAACAGTATAAAATAACATCTGGTGTAATTTGCGCTAATATTTAATTGGGTCAACATCGGTATGGCCAATTCTCAAAGCTGCAATATCCTTATCGTATCGGAAGTGAAAAATTGTATCGGGACATCCTTACTGTATAGATCGCCTATCATGGCCTCCCATTGTCATTTTATTTTGATTTCACCCTGCATTTTGGTTACTGCTGTCTGTGGCAGTTTGTGTTTATAATAAAGGACAAAAGAAAGCAAAAAACAGCCAAACTTATTCTCTAGTTGAATATGATCACTATTGTTTGCCTAACTTCATATACATTCCTCTTGCTAAAACGAACTCAGCACCAGACCTTGTGGATGCTCAAGGCTAAAGGCCCTTGTCTGATACAACTTATAGACAAATCTAATTAAAATACATATGCATAAATAAAGAAAATTGATATTAGATAATCCAGTAACTTTGGACCATGCACCAGCAAACAGCTATAGCTGTGTTCGTTTGCGCCTGTAGCTTTGTTTCATCTGCAGCATGTGTCTTGGTGTGTGTGGGTTTGTGTGTGTGTGAATGACAGGCATGAGTGGATCCCCCTGCCATGACAGAGTCTATCGATCAGTTTGTCGGCGCCGGGGGAAAAGGTTAATCTGCCCAATGCCAGCTCCTCGCCTCGCCACATCTCTGGCCTGCCCTGCATCCCACCCCAGCCTGCTCCCTCTCTTATCAGGATTAGAGGAGAGTACAAAAGGGCAGAGCATTCCCAGGACACGCACTGACCTTCAGTAATCCCACCAACCTGACGCTCAGCTTATAATTAACATCAGGAACACAGAGGGAAAAGTCCCCCTGGTCTGCTTGCGTAGCATTGCTCCAACTCAAAGACTCAAACTAGATGGAAAAAAAGTTAACGAAGAGTTTAAGACTCAAAGTGAAAAGACCTGCTTCACTAATGTGTTTTGGATGCCTCAGAGAGGGTAGCTGACATTCTGGAGGTGCTGACTACCCTCCTCAATCTCCCCTGTGTGCAAGCCCTGCACAGAAATTGTAGAGACGTGCTGAACCAAGCAGGGGCACAAAACACAGTACTTTGAACCAGCAGACAATTGTGTAGAGAAGGAACTTAAGGGCATAAAATAAAAAAATGTGTGTGGATCTATGGGGTATCTGTGTGGGCATGCTCACCGGGTCTTGGTTCATCTGCACTATGAGCTGTTTAACGGCGTGCAGCGTGGGGTGGGCCCATGGAGAGGGATCCTGCCAGTGGCGATTCAGGTCGAAGCCCATCAGAGAACACCTGTTTGTTTGCACACACACACACACACACACACACACACACACACACACACACACACACACACACACACACACACACACACACACACACACACACACACACACAGGAGACTTTGATTTTCTATCCAAATTGGGACTTTACATTGAATTACCGGTACATTCATTTTAGCTACTGCATTTAGGACTTACCCTGACATCATCCTAACCTTAACCATTACCAGTAGATTGCTAACCCTAACCTTAACCTGAAGTGAATGCACACAATAATGAAACTGACTCCCCTACTAAAAATGGGGCCCACCACATTAGGACCAGCCTTTGGTCCCTACAAGGCTCTCAAAGGGTTACTAAATATACCCAAAACTGTCCTAATAAGTAACAATATACAGTATACAGGCACACAAATCCATGTTATATGTCATATCCTACCTTTGTATTGACTCACCTTCATTTATATGGCCTAACCAAGATCATTACCCTACCAAACACCAAAGCCAAACCCAAGAAGAGGATATTTTCTTATGAGGTCCACTGGTCCCCACACGTCTCCGCTAGTCCCCAAAATGTTGCATATTTCTTGGAAATATCCCCACAAGGTACCAAACACTATCCACAGAAGATACAAAAACCAGACGCGCACCCCCCACACACAAACAGAAAACATTTTCCTGCTTTTTTCTTTTCTGATGTACTGACACAAATGATTATACAAAAAGAAATAAACCAGCTCTAGATGGGCAGCAGGATTATAGATGCGTTTAGACCAAAGTCATTTTCTGAAATAAGAAATTCCTGATAAGTCTGTAAAGTTCATAGAGCAAGAACCCAAATGCAAGCAGGCAGAAGGCAGATTACACATTTACAAATTATGATTTAAATGCGAAACAGAAGGAAAGTAAAAACACTCCACTGTAGAACTAACATTAGGATAAGAACAGGAAAACAGGAAAATCCGGTGATTGGCTGGAATAAAACACGGTCTATATGGACTGATGGTGACCACTGACTGAGGACAGATGTACCGATTTTATATCTGAAACAGGTTTGAGGGGATGAAACAGGTATTTTCAGGGGGTAATGTTTAATTATTAATTATTTTGCTTTTGTAAAAACAAAATCTTCTACCACAAAGTTTCCCATTTTCCAGTTAAAAAGATTATACTGATGGTATACCAGTGGCAGGGAGCAACATAAATAAGGGTTTAGCTAATGCAATGCTTTGGTTCAAATTCTAGCAAAAACCTCAAGTATTTTCTGAATAATTTTATTATTCTATGCATGTTTTTAATGTTTAATAAAAAAAATAAAATAAAAAAAAGTCAGAAAAATACTTGTTTAAGCACCTTACAAAATATTGGCCTTCTAACACTCTACATGAGTGTAACTGACATTTATGAACACACTCACTTTAAGAATATGGGTTCATTGCTGTTTTCAGTAGAAAAACAACAAAAAGCCTTCTCTCTGTACCAGTCCTCTTTAGTTATATTTAGCAGTTCTTGCTTAATGCAACAGAACACATTTTTGAGGCCATTAAGATGTTCTGGTAAAGAAATGTAGAAATTCTTATCTAGGTTGTTTTATGGCCTAAATATAACCAGATGCTAACTTTTCATGAAAAGTATGTGGCTAACTAGGAAGTGATTAATTTCCTTTTAACTGTTTCAATTAGCTGGATCCTAGTTTGCAATGAACATGTAGTAAAAAGAAAACGACCTTGCCAAGGTTAAGTATTAAATTATGTATTCCTTAACAAAACATTCAGCAGCGTAGGTTCTTTCTATTCTAAACATTCAGCAGTAGGAGCAGCTTACTGCTGTGTTCACAGCTGTTTTTTTAAAATAATTTTATCAAAGCTTTATGCTACTTTGTTTATAAACACATTAGGACATTTTAATACACTCAGCTGACCTTTATAAATTCCGGTCTAACAGATCAATGTCAAAAATGCTGATTTAAATTTCTGTGCTTTTACAAACAAAAATTTATATTTTAGCCTGTTCCTCCAGAATACTAAGTTAGGATTTGTGTGGTTTAACTTCAACTTGAATGCGACCAACAGAACTAAAGATAAAAGGAATGTTGTAGATTATGCAATAACCAGGCTTTGTGTTCACTATGATGCAGTGGAAAACCGAATAAGCTTTTATCTTTTCTTTATGCAACAAAATCAAATCTTGCTTTCAAACCAACCTGGACCGGTTACCATGACAGCTTTGGAAGAAAAACACCTTTACAGTAAAAAAAATCCTCTATGCGACTGCTTTTGTACATCCATCGTCAATGTTGTAGTTAGAAAATAAGAGTTTTTATTATGAAAGAGGATTTATTTTTCTCAAATTACCTGACCTGACTACCATCATTTGCCTAGAGCTCAGAAAGGCAAAAGCATTCATTCAGCTTAAAGTAAAAGCATACACATCTCACAGGAGGACATTGCTTTAAAATAAGATTTTTCTAGAGTGTAACTATTCTTTCCAACAATTTTGAAGTTTCCATATAATAGCAGGAATAAATACTGCCAAAATGCTTGAATAAAAGTCTTGTAACATACAATAGTCTGGCCTAAAGGTGGACAGTGATGGGTTCATACACGTTCTACCTACAGCCACCTTTAACTGCTATAATAGCTACTGACATGCAGGGATGCACCCTGATCTGCCCTCCTCATTGTCTTTTGGATCTTTGACATTTGCTGAAGCTGCCAGTAATAGCACAGGTGTTACTGTTACCCTGAAACGGCAGAGCAGCCAGCCATGAACAGGAAGCTCATCCCAGGTTAACTGCCATTGATTATTAGCTCTGCATGTTCCAGTCTGCTCTCCTCTGTATCCTGCAGAGATGGCTGCTCTGTACGCTATATTTCTCTATGAGGGCGAGGGAGCAAACTATTGTCCATAAATTGGCAGCTGTTATTGGTGAGGTGATGACTGTCACTATTTACCCTCTGTCAATATGAAGCTCATCAACACTCAGTATGAAAGTAAACTAGTGTAAATAGCCTTTAAGCTGAGGTTACTTACAGGTTTGAGACCATACTTGCAAATGCATTTCCGAAGCAGTAGTGGCAGATTGCCACTAGGTGGCATACACAAACACAGTAGGAGAACACTGCTGATGCCTATCTCAGTGAGCATTAGTATTCTGGGGGCTGAGCCTATTAAGTAAAAGGCAATTATGAGGACGGGAAAGAGAAGAGAGGAAAACTGAGGAGAGGAGGATGCCCACAGAGCAGCAGCAACAGTGTTAAAGAGAGAGAGAAGGAGAGGTAGGACAGAAAGCTGGCAGAAATAACTGCCCTGAAGCCAAATATCATCTCCTAACAAATACACTGCTGTTAGCTGCATAACTTTATTAGGCTTCTCAAATATAGATCTTAGGAGATAAGGACAACATTAGATGATATAAACAGAGTGCAGAATATAAAGATCAAATACAAAAGTCTGCAACAGACTGACAACCTGTCCAGGGTGTACCACGCCCATAGACTGCTGGAGATAGACACTGGCCCCACTGCGACCCTGACAGGATTAAGCAGGAGAAAATGGATGGAGGGATGGAAATGCAAAAGTGTTTATTAGTTTTGTACCTGTAGTTTCCCAGATAGACTCCATCAGGATTAAGCATGGGGACTATCTTGAAGATCACATGATCACGCAGGATTTGGGCAACTGGATGCTGGCTCACCAGGAAGTCAATGACACCTATTAGACACGCATATAAATTTACCCAGGAACACACTGACAGGCCCACACACACAGAGCAACAGTAGAGGAAGAAAAGGAGTTGAAAATAAAACCAGGGGCGAGCCTAGCGGTTAATTGAGTTTTGAGAAACAAAAGGAGAGAGAAAAGGACGGTAAGGGGGCACCATCAGAGTCAGGCGTGGAATGGGAGACGTCAAGCCTAAATCGATGCAAATGGAATGGAGCTGATGACGGTAGAAAAACAGACAGCGTGCAGCAGGCTTAAAGCCAAATCATCTGATTCTTAATGAGCAACACAGAAACAGGGGGAAACAGCACAGGATAGATGCATGGATGGATGGATGGATGGATGGATGGATGGATGGATGGATGGATGGATGGATGGATGGATGGATGGATGGATGGATGGATGGATGGATGGATGGATGGATGGATGGATGGAATGAAACAAATATGGTTGGATAAAGGAAGGCCATATATGGTAGAATGGGTGAATTAAGACAATGTGTAGAAGGACGGTTGCCAGAAACATTGAAAGGATGACCAGATATGTTTTTAGACTGCAGGAGTGCAGAGGGAGGGAACCTTTGAAAGCCCTCCAGATGTTTTTACTCATGAAAAAAAATACCAGCCTTTCTAATATTTTTTTTTTCCTAATTTGCATTTACAACAATACACATAGCCTTGCAAGTTAATATAAAATTTCAAATAAATTTGTTAGTCCTTGAATATAGACTGAGCCTACATTATGTAATAATTGTGAAAGTTCATTAAATATTAGGGTTCAAACATCCCAAAAACATGCTGCCAGGCTATATCACTGCACAGCTCGTCCTTTATTTGTATTCAATAAACATATGATTTCGACATACCATTAAACAACCTGATCTGATAGAAAAAACAGACTGTATATTATGTAAGCCTATGTATCTCAGAAAATTGTGGAGCCAAAAGATGGGACTTTTAGCTTGAAGCACAATCATATTCACCTGCAAAAGGGCAACATTCACCCTCACCTGGCCCTAATTAAGAAGCTAGATAAATACCATTATGTCCACTTGTCTCACCCTCTAACAATGTCTAAATAAATAACATAAATATTTTACCTTGACAGATAAAAGAGGCCGGAGACTCTCCAGGGTGAACACGAGCTGTGAGAAAAACCAGCTTCTTCTCCCTCTCTGAACTCACATTATCTGTAAAAAGACAAACAAAAGGCTTGAAGAGAATGAATGCTTAGAGAAAGGCAAAAGCAAATAAAGGAACAAGGAATGAAAAGAGGTTGTTTTGTCAAAGAATAAAGATGGGGTAGCCTAAGGTAAGAAAATTAGTCATATAAATATGTCCACCTGATTCTTGTTTAATTAAAAAGGAATGTTTCTGAACTAAAGGACTTGGATATCTATCTCCACACTGGACTGCGTAACATCAAACCAACACTTTGCACAGAATATTAAACATTTGTAGTGAATTATAGATCTAGAGAGGTCAGGATCAGAGTACAACAGGTGTAAGTTAAGGGAGATTTCTGAGTGAAGTTCTCACATCTGCGTAAAAATTTATCTCTGGCCTCTGACCTTATAGAGGTTGATGGACAGTCTGTTTCCAATTATCATTTGTCCTTCCTTGATTCCTGTCCTTCATCTGTTTTCCTCTTTTAAAGAAAAAAATCAAATAGTGTCCGCTTAGCTAAGTGCTACGAGCACCAATAAACTTTTCCCCTGGTTGGTCAGCAACACTCAACTCATTTTTCTGACAGCATTTGGCCGCTAAGAGGATAAAAGAAGTGATGGCATAGAGAAAATACCTAATCCTAACACTAAAGACTTAATATAGACAGTCTTAAGTAAGTCTAGACTGAATTTAATAAAGTACTTTAAAATCTAAAATAGTTGTACTACACGTATCAGCTGTTAAAAGCTGCGCATCTGACAGAGATGTTTTAAAAACCCAGTAAAAAGACAAAAACAAACATTTTAGAGTTGGATGTTCTGTTATATCCAAAACAGCCACTTTATTGACTACACTTGTTCAGCTGAGATTACATTATGAATCAGTAAATCACATGATTTACTGATTGGTATTTTTATACACAACCATCTCTGGTTTCCAAAAAATATTTCATAAATGAGTAATCAGCAGGTGCGTGGACGAATTGCTCTTGTGTATTAGAGGTAAAAGGAGAAAATGGAGACTTGTTCAAGGTGATAGGAAAGTAAATGTAAAACCAAATCACCACCTATGAACACACAAAGCATCGAGCGTTGAAAAAGATAAGAAAAAGTCCAGTTGCCAGTCATGTGAGCTAAGCACAGGAGTGAGGCTAGAGTTTGCGGAGGCTCATCGACATAACCCATCGAGCAAAAATTTGTTGAAGACACTGAAAAGACGACATGATTTACATCCAAACAATGTCTACTTTTGGTTGAAAAGTGAAAGGTGAAAAGCTGTAATTTTCAATTTCCAGTATTCAACGTCTTTTCAGCATCTATTATTGGATTAAAATGGGACACAATCAGATAGACCAAACAAAGCCCAATTGTCAACATCTGTATCTGGACTAACCGACCAGATTAGGTTTGAAGAGTTTTAAATGCAGATGGAACATTTAGATTCAGTTTCCAAATTTATCATAAATAACAAGAAAATGTTCATCCTGCCCTCTTATACTTTTTCAGAACAGGGATGGTGTAATAAGGTAGAGGAATTTATTTTGTGGCAAAGTTTGGCCCGTTTTATTATAAAAAGGAACTTCATATAACTCCAACAGTTGAGGACCACAATTTCTGCTGATGAATACTACCAGCCAGATAATACCAATGTGATATATTTTAAATCCTCTGAGACTGGATTTGTTAACATGGATTAATTAATCTACAATTAACAAATATATAATAAATATTCTTCAAGATATGGTGGAAATTTTCACAGTAACTTTCAGCTTTTAAGGCAAAAAAGGGATTTAACCAGGCACTAAAAAGGGAAATTGTGTCATTATGCTGGTCCTCTGAGCTTATTTATCACATGATCTGTTTTTTTAAAAAGTAAGGATCAAAGGCCACAAAATCTTGCAAAAATTAGTTTTTAAGAAAAGATTTAAAAGCAGCACTACAGACAGTCAAACATGTAACATCCACCCACTGAATCTCAGGTTCAATTGAAATCCAGAGTTCAAAGTTTTGTTGTGCTTTCTTTTTGCCAGTGTTTGTCTTCTAATCTGCAGTAATAGATTAAAGTGATTGTGCACCTCTTTGCTATACACAAACTTAATATCTTATCGATCGCTCTGTTTTCTTCTGCTGAGCAGAGAAAATGCTAATTAGCAACAGGCTAAGCTTCTTTCCTTCTACTTAATTCCAATTTAACCTCAGTGCAATGCTTGTATGTGTGTCTGTTTAAGTAGATAAAAGTTGTCGAAAAAGCTTTGTTCTGTAAGATTTCTTTTGCTTTTTCCTTCTTCTGCCCTCCACAGAGACAAATGGGTTTGCCATTCAGGAGTTTTCATGCGGCGGAGTGGGATGGTTCTTCTAAATGTGACCACTTGTGCCTTAGCTGGATGCAGGGAGCTCGGTGGCTGTGAAATTCCATCAGACGGAAATTCTGCTTTGGCTTTAACCTGAAGTTACTACACAGATCCAAGATATGAGAACATAAAAATGACCTACACAATGCAGAGAGCATAGCAGTAAACAGACAGACACAAATTTCCACTACAGTAAAACCAGGAAGCAGGAGCAGAGGAAGCTGCCAAGGACTCGACTTACTTGGGAATTCAACCATTAAGGCCATGCTGCATTAACTATTAGTGTGCCTTTGCTCCATTCTTTAAAACAATATCTTATAGCAGGCTCCTGAAGCTTACAAAAGATGTAGGATTAATCTCACATTACTCTGTGTATCTGTATAGGGATGTCTTCTGTGAGCACAAACAAATACTCCCCGAGTAGCTGTAGTGTTTTAACCTGGATTTCTTCATTGCTGTTTAAATCTGGATGTGAGCAACCAAGCACTGTACAACAAAATGAATTCAACCTATTCTATGCATGTTCCACACAACATGCTCAGGTAACCAGAAAACAACAGCTATTGATGGAGTGAATGTACAGAAACAAATCATTTTGACTCAGCTGACGGTGGCATTTCACATGAAAGGTTTGGGTTAAGTTATGGTTGAGCCTCAAACGCAAAGTGATGTAGCAGCATCTCCTGACCCAGAGGTGGCAGTGAAGATCAACAGTTGGGGCATTAAAGAGACAGAAAGAGTGGCTGTCAGATAAAAAAGAGCACAAAAAAAGCAAAGGTCAAAAACAAGACTGAAAAGTATCTTTCAACACAAGTCCTTAAACTCTGTAGAGCTTTTCTTGTCAGTTTTCAAAAAATCAGAAAAAAACCATCCATCCAGCTTATCCCTTCTTGGGTCATGAGGGGTGCTGGTGTCTATCTCCAGCTGTCAATGGGCGAGAGGCGGGGTACACCCTGGAAAGGTCGCCAGTCCATTGCAGGGCATCACAGAGACAAACAGGACAAACAACCATTCATGCACACACTCACACCTAATGAGAGAAGCCAATGAACCTAACAGCCATGTTTTTGGACTGTGGGAGGAACCTGGAGTACCAGGAGATGCCCACGGAAAACATGCAAACTCCATGCATAAAAACCCTGGGCCGAGAATCGAACCCGAAACCTTCTTCTTGGAAGGAAGCAGTCCTACCCACTGCTCTACTGTGCAGCCCAACAACCCATCAACAATAACTTATTTCCAGGTGAAGCACTGAGCTAAATGTGAAATCAAATCTTAAGTCATTGTCATATGTCAAGTGGTGTATATATAAAAAAAGAACATGATTCTTTCTATTGCAAAATAATTCAGTTGGAGATATATAGAAACCACTCACCGCTTTAAAGTACAATTTTGGAGGCTTTAAAATGATAAATTTAGTGTTTAAACTGTCATAATCTGTATCTGTATTAGTGAGGGGAAACCCACAGCTCAGTAAAATAGCAGCTTTGATCTTACTGTTATAAACTACATTTCTAGTATTTTTTTGAGGGGGTTTGTGCACTTGTGCCAGCCTGAAATCTAAAACCCTGCTTCATCCAAAAACGTTTCAGATAATTTATACTTCCCATTTCTTTTTGGTAAACAAAACCTTTTAAGACTTTTGACTATCATAACATTTATAATTTATTTCAATATTTATTGACTACGTACAGCTACCAGTAGTTCCAGAAGCCATTAGGCTTAATTCACCATTCTACTTTTTTTTAATAATATTCTATTGAAGTAAACATTTAAATAAGTCCCTATTATAAAGTCATACTTTTCTTCTACTTGAAGTTCCTCATCTCAGGATTTTTCATTACATCACAAAAAAGCTACCAAAAGGCTGGGAAAGTGTTGCTGATTCAGTTCGTAAATACTAAGTCAAGCATTTCTAGGTTAAAGTTTTGTCTAGAGTTATGTTTCTTCTTAATTTGTCCTACATTCTTAGATGGCCTTTTTACCAAAATATAACTTTCAAGAGCGACTATATCCTCAGAACAAAGTTTTTGTTCTTTTTTATTAGCAATGCTATCCTCCCATGTGAAGGGATATTTCTATTTTCAGTTATGAAAAAGTGCAACCAGTTTAAACCAACAGTATGCCATGCAGTCTTTAATGCAGAAAAGTAATGTACCAGTTTATGTTTTTTTTTATTTCATTAAAAATTTCAAATTTTAAATTTAGAGTTTGCTAATTTTGTATCATTGATTACTGTAATATTCATACTTGTCTGGAAGCACTCATCTAGTTATGTATTACATAGATCCCTTTTTTTCTGCAATTCTATTGCAAATAAGAAAAAGCTCAATCTAAATGTATCGTCACAAGCTTTTATAAGATATGGCATGGCACTGTGTTGGCATTGGAACTTTCCGGGCATAAAACAAACATAGTATTTAAGAGTGATGAAAATCCTAAACTTACATCTTTTATGGCCTAATCAGAGCTCCCTCCAATTTGTCCTAAACACACCCCAATTGTCCTTTATTAGCATATGCTAATATTTCTTATGAGCTTCACTGTTGACATGATCAGGTTAAAATGAATGAAGAGCATGATGATACAGTACTTAAATTTAAATTAAGTTTTTCTCCATCTCACTTTGCTTTCATGTCAAGTTGATGCTGTAATTTCCTCCTGGAGTTCATG